TTATTTGAAATTCTGCAAAATATTAAAATGAGGATGACGTATAAATAAATATACATACATATATATGTAAAAAAGAAAGAAAAAATAATCTAACTATAATCACTTTACTGCGTTAATTTTCTAAAGTTTTACTTTACTTAGCAACTATTCAGCTGTAAAAATTTGCAAAGCTGAAAATTTTGTTGCCCTTCGAAGGACACGTGCGCAAAACAACGACGCGACGTGCTTGCCAACAAAACTAATGGCGACTATTTAATGACATTGACTGGTTGGTTGGTTGGCTCAGCGATAGAGGAGAGAGGGAGAGTTTAAAAACAAAAGATAAAACGCCGTCGTCCTGTGATATTTTAAACTTATTACAGGGTTAGCTGCTTCGTGATTTTGTAGTTTGAAAAAGTCTGCTTGTCGTTGGCGGCGCGCGTAATTTAACTTGGCAAATTCTAATTGAGCAATTGATTGAATTTCATTGAAATAGCCGGCTAGAAGGGCGCTAATGCAAATACATGCATACATTCGCGCACATACATACATACATATGACTGCGTGTTGAAATAAATTAAGAAGAAGCAGATTTCAGTTTTGCACAAAATTATTTCACCTGCGTAACTGAGGTCCACCCATCGCCAAGGCTAGGTTTTGCTGCTGAGTGATAGCGACTGAGAAAGTTGGGTCTGGCCTAAGTTCGAATTGCAAATTTTCGCGACTTTTGTGGCTTCCACAGCGAATAGTTTTGAGTATTCTCTAGAAGTTGCTGTGTGTGAAATGTGGCTGAATAAAGAATTTGTGCTTTATTTAGATAAGTGTGCTTAATGTTTTTAGTGCATATTTTCACACGACCAAATACATATTGAGTATCAAAGTATTTTGTTACTTGTACCTAACGGAATCCTAAGCACCAAAGTAATTTGTATTCACAAAAGTACTTAGTATTCATGGTTGCACTAAGTAATCCCCGTTATAATTTTTTGTAATAATTTGTTTTTTACTCAAAACCTAAAATTTGTTATGGTACCCGTCTAGCATTTTCATAATTTGTGACATATTATGCGGTACGCCCGTTTAGGACTTAAGTTCGGCTTACCTACATACTGTAGTGCCGAAGGTCCGGAAATAACCGCGAAAGCCCGGAAAATTCGCCAAAATCCCGAAAATTCTCGCAAAATGCTGTCAAAGAGCCCGAAAAAGTTAAACGAAAAGTAAAAACGAAAAATACCGGAAAATTTCAAGTACCAAAAAATGTAGCGAAGAACTTACAAAGTTTCGTAAAACGGCACAAATCGCGCAACATTTCAATATATTGTCAATCCTTAAAATAAAAGTAAAATTACCAATAATTTTATTTATTTTTTTTTTACCCAAAATACAAAAATTTTGATTTATTGCATAACGATTTGTCTCACGGAACATGTCAGTATATGAATTGCTAAAGTTTTTTTTTTAAGTTAGGACCAAATGTACTTCGTATGGCATCTCTAAATACTGTTTACAAAAGTAGTGCCGAAAAATTAGGATAATCATGAAGCAACCTCAAAAATCCAGAAAATTCCCGACAGTCCCGAAAAATCCCAGAAAGTCTCAAAAGGTCCCGAAAAAGA